TACAGCCAGTGCCCTCAGACGTTCTTGACCCATTGCCTTCCTTAGATACGTGTATGTCTTAACTCTTTTAGAGTGCTGAAACAACGCTCGGATTCGGCGGTTGATATTGGAGTTGTAAGTACAATATCTGTCAGTTTGTGTATTTCTGACAGAGCGGCTTCCAGGTTGTTCTCTCATATTAATGTCCAAAGAGCAAGGACAGTCTTTACGTTTGCAAATGTGTCATGCCTATAAAGGGCACTAAGTTCGCTGTCTAACTTATCTTTCGTGAGCATAGGATCATATTTTACAGCACTGATCACAAGCTGTCTAGGAAAGGCAACTTCATGGGCTGCAAATAATTGCGGTTCAATTAGTGAAAAACATTTTGTGTGATGCGCTTCTTCGAAACAATGTTTCATCTGGTTCACTATTGCGTCACACGCCTCTTTAGCTTCGGCGCTTGTGTTCACATCTTTCCGCGCAAGTTTTGTTGGACGTTCTGAATTTCGTTCTAGTTCAGGAAAATTATTTCTGATGACGTTTATTACAGTTTCGAAGTGCTGAATTGCAGTACAAATATTTAGAGCATTTCCTCACAATTTCTGTATTGTGTTGTGCAGAATGTCTACATGTAAAAGAACGGAATTAAAAAATGACAACAAACATAAGAATTCTCCTTCATTCAACAAATTAGCCAGTCCTATGGACTCTCGAATTGTAACGTTATCCCAACCGTCTTCATTTTGAATCATGTCTAAACACTGAAGTAGAGCATGCGTGTTGTTGAAGACATTATTTACAGCTCTACTGTGAAAGTTCCAACGCGTTTCTACGGTCTTCGCAATCGCCCAGCCACACACAGTTCTTAATAAATCCGAGCGCTTGGGCGAAACAGAAAAGAATGATGAAAAGCCCGATATATTGATAAAAAACAATTTCACTCATTTTACAGAGGAACACGCTTTCTTCATTACTAAGTTTAGCTGATGAGCGTAACAGTGGATGAAATGTGCATCAGGAAATGTATTTCTTATCTTTACCTGGACCCCCCTGTTCCCGCCACAAAACGCGGGAAAGCCATCATAGGATGGAGCAATTACTTTTTGTTCAAGGTTGTTTGGTTCTAATTCTTGTTTAAGTACTGATGCTAAACCTTCTTAAATTCGATCCTGAATGTGAACACAGGAAATGAATGTTTCAACAGGAACACTGCTATTGACATACCGTAGCAGAATAACTAATTGGGACATGCATGACACGTCAGAGGTTTCATCTGCCTGGACAGCTACATATTTTGCATTTTGAATTTCTTGTTTGACCGTTTCCTTGTATACCGCATATATACAGTCCAGTTATTCATTTTGAATTGTTTTCGACATGTTTTTTGACATAGTTGCACTATTTAAATGTTCACTTAGAATACTATGTAAAGCCGCTAGTTCCGACATGAGATCCAAAAATATCCCGCGACTGTAAGAACTCTCGCGCTCTTCATGTCCCCGAAGAGGAAGTTCATGCGTTCCACAAAACTTTATACAATTAATTACCCTATTTAATATGTGTCTGTTTTTATCCACAAGTTCATTGTGACGCTGAATAGAAACCCTATAGCTATCATTTAATTGGGTGAAAAATTGACAGAACCAAAGAGATTAACTTTTACATCTTTTTCAATATGCCTTTGCGACGCTTCGTGTTTTCTAACTCTTTCTGACAAATGTTTAAGGTCAGTTATACCTGTCACCGTCCAACTCGTTTCCCACCAAACAAAACACACATAACAAAGAAAAAATGATTTATTTTCTTCACTTAGAGTCAGCCATTTCTTCTTGTGAAACCAAGATAACGGAAACGTTCTTTTCTGAGTCTTGCAGTTCTGATCAAGTTTGAAATCTGTTGGTTGATGCGCGCCAAGAGTTTTCACTTGTAATTTCTCTTCTAAACTCAAAGTTGAGAATGGTGATTTCAGAAGGGCGTCCACCCTATTCATATTAATCACTAGTTCTAACACGAATACAATTCATTCATTCATTCATCTGTAATCTGTCAAGACGACAGGTCCACAGTCTCTTCCAAAACAGTTCCTCCACTTGATGCGATCTAGGGCTTTCTCCTTCAAATGAAAATATCCTCTTCTGTCCCCAAGGTCATCCACTATACAATATTAACCTAAAACCTAATTTGGAAATTACACTTGCAAAACAACTTTAATTTTGGCCTACGCTAAAATTACTTTATTCCCGAACTTGTATCTTCTCCACTGCTCAAAACACAACTGAAAGATGGAATCTGAATGGTGTCTGAAAACCTACCCTCTGCCTATTCTTACAAAGAACATGTTACTTAAGGCTGGAAGAATAGAGGTAAGTTCACAATAGCATCCACACTCCACCCGTCCCTTTCATCCTTGTGTATAGTGTTCTTTTTTATTGCGGGCTTGTCAAAACTAGCCCCAGGCGTGACATTTCAAGACGCATGCGATACTTAGAATCCCTGAAAGGTTCACTGAACTTAAGGCTGCTTACGATACACACAGTAAGGACTAGAGACGAGCTAGCCCCTGCGTTTTATAACCGTACAAATAAGCTGTGATATGGCCAAGACATCACTATTGCATTTTCGTGTCTCCTTAATTACATCATGATAACGAGAAATATTAATATTTTGATATAAATTTGATCTCAATAAACGGAATAAAATATGAATGAATATGAAAATTCAATACTACAACAAAATCAGGTGGGGCTTAGCCCCTTTAGCCCCTAATGACGCACCGCCCCTGATTAAGAATTCTATTTTCTTAAATCATGGGCTGAAACGTGAAACATTAACACGATAAAGCAGAGCTATATAAGATCATACCGAATGAATAAAAACAACAGAGACAAAACCACAAGTATCATGGAAGTAATTTATGATATACGCGCATTCTATCAGCAGCGAAGATTTACAACTTAGAAATTTTTTACTTATCTAGAAGCACTTCTTGTCAGAAAGCAATGCTCATTATTAGTAAACGAGAGTGACAGAGAACACACCATACAGCTATCCAACAGCCATCTTTAATCACTGACATAGTTCCGGTTTCTATTGATTTTCACCGCAATCAGGACATAGTGATATCACCACAGACGTATTCTTCTGTTTACGTACTTCCATCAGTTAACTGAAGATACTGGTGACGCAAGTGAATACTAATTACTCAATATGTAAGACAATTGTGTTGAGATGGCTGTTGAAAATTCATCTTCATAGAACCCCTTGCCTCTGTGATATCGCATGCATAACTATCAGCTGATTATGTCCTACGGAATTCGTAATTACAAATATTCCTAGCAGGGCGGACTTTATAAGTTTTCGAAGTCGTTGGAGGGGGTCTCTTTCTGCTTGAGGTATCAGCATTAAAAATCATGTCTAAAACTTGAGCTCGAATTGTGAGTTACTGATATATCGGTATCATAAAGTAAGTGACTTGTTTTATTTGCTACAACGTTTACTGTAAAAGGCGAAAGTGAGAATAGCTCTACATATTTTGGGTGGGCTTCGGTGCTTTTGTGATGATCTGTCAAAATTTTATTAAGCAACATATGTAAGGTGAAAATATTCGTAAATTATTTTACGTAGATGTATAACTTAATAATTTATGTTAATGAATGTTGCTGTAGAATAGGCAGCATTCCTGTTTAGTATTCTGGAGGTCCCTGCATCAAATTTCGTCTCGGAAGTAAGTTATCATAAATTCCGTTGTTTTCTTCAGTCTTTCCAGGCAAGTGCCTGTAAATGCCTCCGATCAGACCATGACAACTTTCCACATATAATAAAGAAGCGATTCAAAAGTTTAAGGTACTGCCATATTACTTACTTATGGAGCTGAGCCCTTCTTGGGGAGAAGCCAAATCTGCAGCTACTCAAGAATTCCCCAGCATTTTATGGAACCCGAAGGTTCACTATCGTGTTCACAAGAGCCATCCATTGGTCCCTATACTGAGATAGATCAATCCAATTCATGCCATCCCATCCTATCCCTCTAAGATCCATTTTAATATTGTTCACCCATCTACGCCTTGGTCTTCCCAGTGGTCTCTTTCCTTCTGGCTTTCCCACCAATATCCTATATGTATTCCTCTTCTCCCCCATTCGTGCTACATGCCCTGACCACCTCATCCTCCTTGACTTGATCATTACAATTATACTTTAAGGTACTGCCATGTTGCATGTTGCAAACATTAATTAGGCCTACGTGTTACAGGCCTAACGAAGGCAGACGTAATTCGCTTGAATACGCGTACCTAAATGATAATGTTTTATGATGACGATTATAGCTGAAAAATGTCGAAACTGGAGTTTCATATCAACTTAATTTTAGTGGTTCATCTAACGTTTAACACCAAGAATACTATAGCCCATCATAAGTCACTATATATCTCTTTTGGATCCTCAAAATTGCTTCTTAGTCTTTCAAGCTGAATTTTCCAAGATGTTTTCCCACTAAAGTTGCGCATGCATAACGTGGCTTGCAATCAGATTCCTAGACAACTGCTGCTTCCAGAAAACGTGGCTCAATTCATGTCTCCTACTCCACACATGCCCTGTTATACAGGAGAATTTGCTCTATGCTTAACTATGTAAGCATCACGTTACGAAGAGGTATGGGGGAATGGATATATAGATCCACTCATTCTTGACTTCGGCACTACTTGCAGATGAGTGGCCAGCTTCACACCACGACCGCATTACCCCCGAGAAAAGAGTCCCTGATGTTGCAGAGATGCATGCACTATAATTATTATGCTTGAGAGAGGTATCGTTCAGTTAACTCTAAACACTGCGCAAATGTATTTGGCATGCTTTGGACATAATTACCAATGAACATAAAGAATGTACGTGAAAGTTCAAAGATATAATTAACCCATACTTATGCATGTGATCATCTGCTAGTTAGATGTGGTACACCCAACGCGTCAGAAATTCCAGACCTGTTATTGTTTTGTTCCGGAAGGCGGCAGCCCTGCGCTTGTATTCCGGTGATTGTATCCAGTGACATATGAATCGTCACTAATGACATGTTTCATTATGTGACTAGTTGTGCAGATGTGTTAATGGTTATGAAATGATTATTATTACATTTACACTTTTCGATAGCATTAACAGCGCGATCGGATGGCTGTGAAGACACAATTCACTTCGATCCTGGGGTTCAGCACAGCAGTCATCAATCATATTACTCAGAAACAGATCCAGTAATGAGGTTAGTAAAGAAATATTTATATGACGTAATGTATTCTTTGACATTATATTTCATAGCTGAGTCAGCAAAGTATCTGGCTACGAACTGGAAGACTAACGTTCGATTCCCGGTAAGAGCAGAGATTCTTTCCTTTGTCATGGCATCATATTAATATGAAGTTTAAAAAAGCTATTCCTATAACAGGCCGTGGAGGTCCATAGACATTGAGGCTCTCACATTTTCTAGACAATCGGTTCACAGATGGCGGTAAGGTTGTCAGCCTTAAGCGCCGACCGCCCTTTACACCGCAGGAAGATTCCTGGTACTCATTTCTGTTAGAGGCTGAGTCGACCGCAGGACCATATTGCGGCTGAAAGGATTAGGCAAATTGGAAAAATCCACATCATCGGTAATCGAGCACACGTTCTTCCGCCTTGTAGCATAGCACTAAGCCAACTACGCTACCGCGTCCCCTCATCGCATTAATATGCCGAGTACATATATTATATTCTGGATTTTTTTTAATTGACAGCCTCTTGCCTACACAATTTCGGAGACCAGATTCAGGTATTACCATGATCATTTTACGGATTAGAACCTTTCTTTCAAATTCTTGTCCTAAAAGCAGGGCAGATAATTTCATCGTGATATTAAATTGTAACATCTTGCTGCACTGGTGGTCTGACTCTGCGTTCCGGTTTTTTTTTTTTTCTGTCTAGTACAACGACGGTTAATATTCTCTTTATTGACACTACATGTTTCGGCCTAACCGGCCATGTGTACAGGTTGTGGTGAAGGAACCTGTTGCTCACTGTAATGTCGTTCTGTTTTTCTTATGTAGTTGCCTTGGATTACAGGTTATGTGTGTTAACATGTGGATAGTAATTGTTCAAGGACACCCAAATGAAACTCCTCCATCCGTAATTTAAGGCCACGCCATGCCATGATGACAAAGGACACAGATAATATGAGGAAACAGACAAACTCCGTGGCCTTAGTCCGAACTATACCGACCGAGCGATCGCCGCTTGTCGGCGAAGTTAGTGCCAACTTTTGCGGATCGAGGGTGTCACGTGGCCAGCGCAACGAATCCCCACGGTCGTTAATCTCGGTTTTCTAGACCGGAACCGCTATTACCTTGAAACAGCTCCTCAATTATCTTCACAAGGCTGAATGTTACACGTTCAAGACCCAGTACAAGCAAAAACAAACAAACTCCGTGGTTTTAGTCCTCAAGGGAACTGCTCTAACTTCGTCGACAAGCGGCGGTCGCTCGATCGGTCGGTTGGTCAAGACCCACTACTTCTCAGAAAATCTGATAGCGAAGAGAATCGAACTCGGGACCTATGGATATGTAGGCAAGAACTCTGATAACTAGACCACAGAGGGGCTCAACTCCTTTCTATATACGCACGAAAACACTACACATATAACTACGGACATAATCCGTGTTCCAAGTGAGCGTCGGAGTCGCTGTCCCAGTTTTCGTAGGTTTCAAGGTCATATATACCAAGCGAACGCTTGGTCACGTCCGCTAAATATATACAAGTATATTTGCGTTCTAACAGTTTTTTGCAGATTTCAGAGAAAACTTGGTAAAGATTTATGGGACTGCGCGGCGTCATGTCCCAGAAGACCGCAAACTTCACAATCCCTCAGATCACTCATGTTTGTTGTCGATGTAATTACAGGGGGTGTATTGATAGAAAAGTACAATACTTTGAATTATTGAGTATTTGCTTGGAATTTGAAAATTTGTAGAAAGAAACCAGCAGAGAAAGTCAATAGCAAAAATCAATCCGAGAACCTCTCGAAAACGGCGACGCGTTCACGAGAGTACTGCCTCCTTACAGATTTCTTTTTAAATAGGTCATAGGAATTTTCAGTATGCGAACAGTCAGCATACCTCCAGGGATCGTGTCTACATGTGAGCCTACCAGATGTGACATTGTGTGCCGTCATGCCTTTTACATTTAGCCTGCAGAATGGATAAAACAAAAACAGGATCTCTTGCTTCATTAAATGTTCGCTATAATAAAATTTCTAAACCTGTACCTCTTGAAGCAACTAACACAAGTGATGCATCGCAAGAACTAACGACGTAAGTTTTCGATATTCAGTGGTAGGCTACTAAACACCAACACCTAGTTTTTTTTTCCTTGGCACTACAGCCCAAGTGGGCCTAGGCCTACCTCCATGAACTTCTCCGTTCACTTCGGTTTTTCTAGATCTAACACATTCGGTAGGACTTCTTGGGCGGGTGATCAGCTCGTCGCAAGGCCTCTACCTGTGCACAAACACAGAAAAACGCACACACACAAACTAAACATCCATGCCCTGAGTGGGATTCGAACCCAAGATCCCGGTTTCCAAGCGAGCGAAGACAGTACACGCCTTAGACCGCTCGGCTACCGTGACCGGCACGCCTAGTTTTACCAACTTTAAATTAGCAAATTATCCTTTTATGATATCTGTAAAATTACTATCCCTTAATATGACTAATAATTTTCACTACATCGTAAACACGCCAAGTTGCATCCCAAAACATCAGAAGACAGTTTGTAAGATTTTAGATTTTCACAGCTGTGACTATGAAGAATGCCGTGTTCTTGGATGTGGCGCCGTGTACATCTTATGTGAGCCTGTTGCAGTCTGCAGCCACCTGCTCACGCTGGTACCTCGCTCTCGTATTTTTCTACCCTGAATATGGAGGCGATACGTTCCTCCGAAACGTTGACTCACATAAGATCAACGCGGCGCCACATCCCAGAAGACGGCATTATTCATCAGACGACAGCTCTTACGAGTGAGGGGATCATGGCCGGTTGTTATCCAGTAAGCCTTCTATATTCTTCTCATTGTCTTTACTTTATACTGCACGTTCCTTTTATTAAAGTACTGCCATCTCAACAAACACATACGTGGTAGAGTCATTAAGTTCGTGGACTGTGGTTTTATCGCATCAAATTATAAGGTATTCTCGTACACTTACATAGATCCACATCGGCCCTCAAAATAATTGCCGTTGGCCGGAATGCAAGTCTGCCAACGTTGATATACCTGCCGAAACATTGCTGAAATATATTGGCAGGAAATTGCCGTACGGCGTCTCTTGTGGCAATGACCAACTCCTCGGACGACTGAAATCTACGGCCACGTAGCTTTGCTTTCAAGCGGTGAAACAGAAAGAAATCGCATGGTGCGAGATCAGGTGAGTACGGAGGGTGTGGCAAAACGGTGACCTGTTGCCTTGTCAATTCCTCTTGGACGAGAACAGAGCGATGTGCAGGGTCGTTGTCGTATAGCAACAGCCAGTTCTTCCTACCCTAAATGTTTCGCTAGGGGATTTGCCTAGTTTTTGACAGAACTTGATGTTTGCCCGTTGTTCAAACTGCCAGATTTTCGATTTCCGCCACTTGCATTTAACTGCAGTTCACAAAGAGGTCGTAGTTCTACTTACACTGTTTGCACATAACTGCCTCTTGCTGTGACGAGAGATGAACCGACAGGGCATCATATCGTGCCTCAACCTATCCGCTATAGTGTACTGCAACGACGCTTTGCGGCCATTCCACGAACTTATTGACTGTGGTAGTAGAATATTTTCATTATATGACACTGTCGTACCGCCGTAAAACCGTTGGAAAATTCCAGCTCAATAGCAGAGAAATGTTAACGTTCGCAGCGTCATAAATTTCAGATGTTATATGTGCATGTATGTTCGCTTTACCATGTGCTGCATTGCCCTGCGCAGCTAGAGACGGACCGATCCCCATCAGAATGGTCATAAAATTGGACAGTACCCTATTCAAAATTTCAGAGCTGATTCTAATCGAAACGGACCAGAAGGCCTAAACAGTGAAAACTAAAGCCATGTCTATTAATATTAGTATTATTACGAAATGTCAGACGCCATTTTGGTAGACTGCTCTGCTGTCGCTATCTGTCGCATGACAACCAAACTAACAGTACATTGGCGGGAAGGTTGAACCTTTGCTACAGCAGCACCAGCATCCACTTCAGACGTTACAGATTAACACAAAAAAATAGGAGGCATTATACTCGTATATGGAGCGCCCTTCGTAATAACTAGCATTATGTGGAACCATCTGAGAACATTCCGTTACATTTAGGGAAAACCAGAAATGGTTTATATGTTGATATTTCCTGCAAGAACGAATAAGACGAATTATGTTTACAGTTTGTGTCATTAAATATCTATGTGTGTATTTCTTCTAATGCGGAAGATATCGAAATGAGTGGGTGCCGTAACGGGGGCATTTGTCCTCGACTTGCTGCAGAACTTCGTTCTTTCAGAACCATAAGCAGACGGAACTCAAGCCTTCCAACCACGTGGTGCCCAATTTTAGCGATTCTGTAAGCACTACGCTAAATGAAAATGTGTAGCCTCTTTAGTACCGGAATATATAGCTATTTTTTTTTAGTTATATAAAAATTTAATTTATAGAGTCGCTGGACACGGAGTCTTTGTAATAATAAAACACAGGATTTTGGCAGTTGCTGAATCCATGCCACCAGAAACGGCCGAAAGTCCTTGGGCCAAGACAGAATGTCCCCTGTTGTTCAGGGCTGGAATTAGAGTTTTGGGGGCGATCAAAACGTGGAGGCCCCAGGGTGACCGCCCCAGTCCCTCCCCCCTTAAATCCGACCCTACTTTCCCCTTGATAACGGTCGCATTAAACAGGTGGACATGCAGAAATTAACTGACGAAAATTTTAATGTGTCTTTTTTTTTTAAGAATTTAAAATTTTTAATTGTGTGGTGATAAATTTGAAGCAACACGTTATTTTCTCTGTCTGTCTATATTCAATCTCGCTAAGAGCAACGTTTATTCAAGCAGCTCGAAGGAGGCTCATGAAGCTCGTGAACCTATGGACTTGGATGAAATCCTGGACGAGTTGGGACACTTCGGGAAGTTCCAGTCCATCAGCTTCCTCGTCATCAGCTTCCCTATAATCTTCTCGGCTATATTCGCCCTTAGTTACATCTTCACCGCTGGAGGTCTGAACTACAGGTAAGCTGCAAGGGGTGTTTTCCTGAATGCTGAGACCGCTCACTTAGGGTCAATAAGGATCTAAGGCTCGTTCTATATTCAGCACTGCCAGGATCTACACATGGAAACGAATTTCTTTACTAGTTGGCGACTATTAGCTTCTCAGGAAACAGGAATGTTTGGAGTTTTACCTCCTAGCGCTGTACGCGCCTTCATTATATGGTTCTTCGTCACAGGTAAGTCTACATGTTACCTAATCCTTCCTGTTGTGGTATGTAGACCCGTTTCTAGGCAATGACAGCGAAACAAACTAGACAACGGCCGTTACTAAACAACGGTCCGTAACAGCAATAGTCGAACGGTGTTTTCTGTGCGGTCCGTGCCGATATGTTATAAACAGGGCAGTCAGTGTTCCGGTTCAGTCCTTTTAAGCTACATCTGTTAGAAGCTCGTAGTTGAGGCACGGGGATATATCGGGAAGGCAGAGTAAGGGAAAAGTCCTCCGTTGGAAGCCGTTAGCAGAAGACTGGTGAAGACACAGCAGGCTGAGAAGACTTAAGTGTGTGCGTAGTGAATTGTAGAGTGTGTGAATCAGCACTAGTGCTATAGTTACTTGGAGTTACAAGTTGTGTGCATAAGTGTTCAGTACATCCAGTTACCAATCCAAACCCCATTTAGAGTCACACTCCGAATCGCGTGACAGTATTATCATGATCACAAACGCTGAAGTTAAATTCGCTGCATCCATTAAGAAGACACACAATATGAATGCGTCCATTGGCGTCCCTTCATTCGTATTGAATTTCGGTAAACACAAAGTGACCAATTACTGGTTTACTAAACACCAGGTAGTTGGTTGAGGCATTATGTTACAAACCGGATGGTCGCGGGATCGAATCCCGAAGAGGTAGATTTCTTCAATTTACCTAATCCTTCCTGCCGCACTATGGCCCTGGAGTCGACTCAGCCTCTAACGGAAATGAGTACCAGAAATCTTCCTGGGGGGGTAAAGGGCGGCCGGAGCCTAAGGCTGACAACCTCACCGCCATCTGCGAGCCGACTGTCTAGAGAAAATGTGGGAGCCTCGACGTCTCACAACCCTATGTACCTCCACGGCCTGTTACAGAGATACCTTTTCGCTTAGTGCGGGGTGGAATCCAACTGGGTCCACTCGGCACGGCGGCCACTGATTGGCCTACTGTAGCCTGCCCCGGGTGATCATGATGATGTACAGTTTGGTGGAATGAAGATTGGAAGGGGAAACCGAAGTACTCGGAGAAAACCCGCCCCAGCGCCACTTTGTCCACCACAAATCCCACTTGACCAGACCCGGGATTGAACCCAGACCGCCGTGGTGGGTACAGAGATACCTTTACTTTTTACCAATTTTTCTACCGCAGTAATTACATGTCTCCGAATAAAATGAGAAGATGATCATGAACAGTGAGTAGTAAGATCTGGAGGGAGGTGGTCTTGGTTTAATTAAATATAGTGCTACTGTCCTACTGGAGGACTGAGTAGAACAACTAAAGTCCTCAGGAAAATCAGCAGCCGGACCGCTGTTCGAAGCGAGTACCTCCCGAATACAAGATTATGATGTTACTTCTACAACAGTTGGTCACTGAAATGAACTGGGCCCCTTTTCTGTTGCAGATGTCGAATCCAGGAATGCGAGGAACCGGAGACTTCCTTCCAGCCGGGGTGGCTGAGCTACGCCGTACCCTTCCAGCAAAAGGGATCGGCCAAAGTTCCAAGCCGTTGCCTCCGCTACGGGCACGTTAACAACATATCTCAGCAACTTGGTAGTAACTCCAGTACCCCTGATCACAATACCACCTGCAGCACAGAGCTCTTCAATAGGAGCAGCACGGTCAGGTGTGACAGATGGGTGTACGAAGGAGCACGGTCCACCATTCTTAGAGAGGTATCCAGCGGACGTTACATTTTGCAGTTTGTTAGAAGAATACATAAGCACATATTTCCAGATAAGGACTTCTTTGAAAATCAGACGAAAATAAAGAAGACAGTACACAGCAGCTGAGGAAATGGGCGTCATTCCCTAATTAGAAGACAGTCCAGTAATATTTCGGGAGTTGGCTCTACTTCCATCTTCAGTTTAACTATGAAGAATGCCGTTTTCTGGGATGTAACGCCGTGTAAATATTGTGTAAACCGAGGTTTCGGAGGAACGTATCGCCTCCATCTTCAGGTTAGAAAAATCCTCCAGCGAGGAACAAGCGTGAGTAGGTGGCTGCTATCTGCACGGCGCCACACATCCCAGAAGACGGCATTCTTCATAGTCACTGCCTTGAAAACCTCAAATCTTACATTCAGGTGAACCGATGGCATTAAACTGCAAGGCACTTGTCAATATTTCCCAGGTGAAAACGAGGAACGTCACTGAAAGTCTCCATCGAGATATTCCGTTGTCTGATCAATTTTCTGACACACTTTCTATCGGCTAAAGTTGACACTACGAGTAACTTCGCTGACAAGCGTCGTCGTTCGGTCGGTATAGTTCGCTTGGGAACTACAGGCCACCGAGTTTTGTTTGTTGTTGTTTTGAATCCCTGGAATGTTAAGTCTTACCCGTTGTATTGCAACTATTTATATAAAGAAGTGAACAATTCAGATGGGTTAAAATAACGAACGCTTTTAATGCACGAGAGACCTGAAAACAAGATATAAACTTTTAGTCGGACAACATGATAGGAAATTGTCCACGTGACAGATCTGCGCTTACTTAGAAGGGTAATGGATCTCAGAGAAGAAGGATGTAGGCCAGATTCAACTAGTCCAGACCAGGGTCCATTAGCGAATTCTTGTGAACACTGCAACGTAAATTCGGATTCCATTAAAGATCGAAAATTTCGTAACCAGCTGAATGACTTTTCTGCTCTATCAGACATTTCAGACGGGAATTTAATGTGAAAATCTGCCCTGTATTTGTCCGATATAGTCTGCAAGTATACAAATTGGGCTTGAGCTTAACCAAGATTTCTCGATATACAATTTTATAAGTGAGCTCACAGAGTCCTTACAGACACACACAAAGACGTAGGAACTATGAATGTTTGTAAAGAAGAAAGGAACATGAAGAAAGCAGTCTTCTGGGATTTGGCACCGTGTATATGTGGTGTTAACCGACGTTCCTCCGAAACGTCGGTTAACACCACATATACACGGTGCCAAATCCCAGAAGACTGATTTCTTCATTGTCACCGCCGTGAAAGCCTCAAATCTTACGAAAGGAACATATTCTAGAGTAGTGCATTTCTTACTCTGGAATGTTTTCCATTTTCAGGGATATCCACTTCATAGGATAACTGACCCAGCAAATATATCTTACTACTCACTGAAACCCTAAATCGATTATTACTAATTCGTGGTTAAAATATTTCTTGCAGTGGGACATAACCTGTGAAGATAATCAATGGGCACTTACCATGGTCGGAACGGTTAATAATGTTGGTCAGTTTATTGGTATGCCTATAGCCGGAGTGGTTTCTGATAGGTGAGTATGGGAAACGCATTCACCAGATCCTATAACATAAGGTAGAGTAGTCGATTGAGGTACTATGCTACAAGCCGGAAGGTCGCGGGATCGTATCCCAATTAGGTGGATTTTTTCAATATACCTAATCCTTCCAGCTGCACTATGGCCCTGAGGTCGACTCAGCCTCTAACAGAAATGAGTACCAGGAATATTGTCGGGGGTAAAGGGTGGTCGGCGCGTAAGACTGACAACCTTACCGCCATCCATGAGGCGATTGTCTAGAAAATGTGAGAACGTCAACATCTCACATCCCTATGGGCCTCCACGGCCTGTTACATGGATAGCTTTACTTTTTTTACATGAAGAACATCCTATAATAGATTTTTATATTTATCCTCTTGCCCTAAGGGAAAATTCTTAAACTTTCGAATATTTAAACAATTCCAAAATATGATTAGGTGCTGCAAGAAACACAGGGAAGTTCTTCTGAAGACTTTCTCATGAATTAAAGCAGATACAACCAGCGTGAAAAAAAAGAGTAATGTTTTATTTCCAAAGCATCAGAATCAATAATAGTCTATTTATAAAACAGCAGCAGCATCAAGTAATAGCCCACTACCGCATAATAATTTCCGGAGTGCGAAACACACCCATGGGCCTGCATTGAGAATGTGCTCGAAGGCAGAATACGTCACACGTGCACCTCCGTTTACTGGCGTTAGTTTAAATGGTGTCTGTGAGTGACATTCTCTCTCCTTTATGGTTAATGCTGCAAGCCTGCATTCTGCAGTCTATTCAAGGTACGCCACAAATTAGATACAGTAATCGTATCTCCACTGTTCCGACACATGTGACATGTTTAATTTTCAATAGAAAAATAGAGAAATCGGAGAAAAACAAATTGAAGGTCAACAGAGAACCATAAACCGCACAGACATCTGCTATTTTAGACTGTTTGATCTCGCAAAGAAATCTTGGAGAAAACATTTTTCAGATACCTGTATAAAAAGAAAGGTAAAGTTGTTCCTTTACTAGGCCATAAAGGCGTAGAGAGGTGTGGATGTATAGATCCACATTTTCTTCGTCTCAGCATTAGTTGGAAATGAGTGGTCAGCTTTACCTCCCAGTCGTTTTACCCTTGAGGAAAGAGCCCCCCCCCGGTACCCATTGGATAGAAGGCTCAGAATATGGCCAAGTGGTGACACCTTGAGAACACAGTACCTTTCGGTTCTACAAGAGGTTAAGAATTTCTTGACCAGTTCAGGAACTATCGTCTTCCTAAATAAAGACTTGGCGGTGCTCCGTAACATAATTTTTACTCAATTTTTCTAGAATTGGCCGGAAGAAGGCTTTGGTGTTGGCTGTCCTCTTGTCTGCGGTCATGGGTATTGCTCGATCATTAGCTTGGAGTTACATGTCTTTTCTTACTTTCGAGTTCCTGGACCCTCTTTGTGGGAGTGGTTTGTACACTGCAGGGTTTGTCCTAGGTATGTATCAGTATGCACAATCAACCCCCTAACTTCCTTTTTTTTAAATTGTGTTTTAGTATACTTGGTTAATTGGAAATACAGTTAATTATATGTAAAATACTTACGCACGGTTCCATGAAGACGTATAGGGGGCCTGGGAGTGATGCGGCAATAGAAAAGTTGAACTGTCAACATCACAGTATAGGATTTGAGGTTCTCACACCTGTGGTTACTCTGCTTACCACCTACTTTAATGCTTGTTTCTCGTTCGGCTTATTCTTTGACTCTTAAGATGGAGATCATATGGTCCTCTGAAACGTCGGTTGACTTCCAACGGACTACAGGGCGTTATATCCCAGAAGATAGTTCTGTTTATCAGTATCTCAATTGGTCATTGTATTCAAGATTTGGCTTTGAGTGAGACAGTGACTAATATTTTACCGTATTTACGCATGTATAGGCCGCACATTTTTTGCCCAAAATTCAAGAGGAAAACTGGGGTGCGGCTTATATTCGAAATATTCGAAATCACACTTCATTTAAAAAAATTACATTCATAATTAGTAATACAGGGTGTAATACTCCTGAAATAATATTCCAAGAAAATTATTTTTTCTATAATTTCTGTCTGAAAATTGTGCTGCAGCCTATACACGCACGCGGCCTATACATGGGTAAATATGGTATTTTTGCATAAAAGCAGAGAACTTCTCGTGCAGATAAAGGAGTGATAGTTGTACTGTAGATTCGTCAATAAATTCATAAATATTGGAATTCAGAATTTGGTTTTGTACTGTTTCCTGCAAGGAATGGAGTTGGTGGGCCCACAGGGACGAGTGTTTGCAGGCAGTATAATCAGCGTCTTCTACACGATAGGAGAAGTGATTCTAGGAGTCGTGTCCTTGTGGCTGCAGAAATGGAGGCTGATTCTCAGAGCACTTTACTTCCCTGCATTCCTCTGCATCGCTCACTACTGGTGAGCATTCACACCCAGAAGAGACCGTCCACAGACCTCGTGATCAGTGCCTTGTCTCTCAACTTGGGCCGCGCCATAACTCAAGCAGTTAGTCGCTGGCTTCCCAACGCGGCGGCCTTGGTTCGATCCCGGGTCTGGTCAAGTGGGATTTGTGGTGGACAAAGTGGCGCTGGGGAAGGTTTTCTCAGAGTACTTCGGTTTCCCCTGCCAATCATTATTCCACCAATTGCTTCACAACCACCATCATCTATCATCCGGGGCTGGTACAATAGGCCAGAAGTGGCCGCAGTACAAGGCACTTAGTCCCACCCCACTAGCAATAAAAAATCTCCCACGTGCCAACATGTTATATTTCAGTACCTCACTGCACACTGAAATAATGCATATAGTGATTCAAAATTATGGCCGGAGTTTCCGTAGTCTACATTTTTCAAATTGGAAAAAATAAAATTAAACTGCTTATGGAATATGAAAGCGTAACTCAAAAAGTATTATCGCTTATAGAATCAATACTGTCGAATGCTAGGCACGCGGTAGCCTAGTTGGCTGTGGCACTATGCTACAAGCTGGAAGGTCTCGGGTTCAGGTCCCGAAGAGGTGAATTTTTTCAATTTACCTAATCCTTCCAGCCGCACTATGACCCTGGGGTCGACTCAGCCCCTAAAAGAAATGAGTACCAGGAATCTTCCTGTGGGGTAAAGGGCGACCGGCGCCTAAGGCTGACAACCTTACCGCCACCTGTGAGCCGACTGTCTAGAAAATGCGGCAACCTCGACTTCTTACAACCCCATGGGCCTTCATGGCCTGTTACAAGGATATCTTTACCTTTACACTAATAGTATTGTTTGGTGAGCCGCTACAAGCATTTCTGGAATTTTAGATCAATATCAAGTTCTTCGTAACACAAGAAAAAATCTGTCTGCCTCCATGATTAATAAATTTGTGTATATTTACTCTTACCCGTATTTAACCAGAGTTAAATAACACTTCACTATGTACGTATCTGTATTTCTAGCGTCGTGTAATGAAAATCTAATTGAATTACAAATAGACAGTGTCTTTATGTAGTGCTACCAACTGTTTTTGTTTTGTTTAGGTTGGCTACTGAATCTGTGAGGTGGCTTCTCACGAAAGGAAGACTCGAAGAAGCGAGGGATATCATTCTGAAAGCTGCCACCACAAATGGCATTGAATTATCTCAACAATCACTGAGCAAGATAGAATTCTCTGCTGAAATCAGAGATAAAATAGTAAGTTAAATTTCCTAGACTGTTTTCTTGATTCAATTTGTTGTTGTACTCCGTCATCAACACCTCCGGACTGAAGACGGATAAATGTAAAGAGTAGCTGTACGTGGAGGAGCCGTGTGGGATGTAATCTGTGTTATCTCTGTTCCAAAAGTATTGACTGCCTTCAGGCTCTATTCAATAATGGGCATGGTTTGCAGTAGATGTTTTCAGCGAGGCAAAATATGATGGACTCCGCACTCAAGTTGCGTCGTCTAGGCCATTCTGGTACAGATAAATCAAAACTGAAGTACCGAACATTCTGGCTTATAGAATTGTATTTGTGACGTGCTCGGTTCGAAACTCGTCACTGACACAAACTATCCTGGCACTTTTAGTGTTTTTCTCAGACCCTCCAAGAAAATTCCTGGACTGTACCTCGATTAGGCTATATCCGTTTCCTTCCAAATCCTTTCCATCTAATGCATCACGTGACAATATACTACGTATAATATCGATACTGAAAACATCGTTCAATAAACGAAGAGAGGAAAAGACTAAAGGCCTCTCAGTGGTGTCGTAATTATCAGATTCTGGGGGGAGGAAGTGAAAATGGCCGGGAGAGAAGGCTAAGAATTCGACCATTGAAAATTTACATCTGTATAAGCACCAAAATATTTGCCTTTTCGCTAGATATAGGCAATTTGTCCTTGCCCACACAAGTGTATGTACTGGGCACAATTTTCTTCAGTGTTTTAAATTTAATTCCTAATAAATTATTCCTCGTTGGAATAATCACCACCTTATCGTGGTGAGGGGGTTTGAGTATGCCAAGGACCCTGAGAGCTATACCAGCGGTAGCGTAGCTACTGGCAGGGCCTCCCTTGCTGGACAGGTCAAAGGGTAGGCATCAGACGAAGAGAGACACCAAAAACTGATGCCGGAAGCAGCGTCATCAG